GGCAGTGCTTAAGGGTTAACTGCAGTTTTCCAAAAAGAAACTTAACAGGAAATGCATCTTTGGGACTTGTATACTTTTCTTTTTGTTGTGGATGTGGAATGGGAATGTTGTGAAGGAGTTAAATTGTTGGTAAGGAATTGTTAAATAACTCATTGAAACATATTGGTATGATTGTAGTGCAGCGGCAAAACGTCAGTATTTTAACTAGATGATGTTGATGATGAAAAGGACATAAAAAGAGAGTAAGAGTGATTTCAAGCGTAATGGTGCATTACAGGGAATGTGTCTTTGCTGATCAGTAGTATTCATGATATTTGGCATATTTATGTGTTTATATGTGTAAAAAGCACAACCAATACAGCCTTCGTTCGCACAAAACCATACAATTGATTGTCCCAAAAATCAGAACAGAATTGGGGAAAAAGCTTTTAAATACGCTGCCCCTGCTTCCTCTGCAGAAGGAACTGAAATGATCTGACTTGGTTACCTTGGGAGAGTTTAAGTCTGTCTTAAAGGAACGAGAGAACAGCTCTTTTACTCAGTGTGATTGTTTTTAATGTTCTCTTAATTTGATCTGTTATCGTATATTTTACACATGTTGGTATGGGATGTTGTATTTGTTTTAAATGTTATATACCTATGTGGTATGTGACTTTTGTTGCCATGATGCCAGGTCTCTCTTGGAAATGAGATTTTTAATCTCAATGAGATTTTTACCTGGATAAATAAAGGACTAATAAAATGTATTTCTGAAATGTATGATGCAAAGCACCTGTATGCGCAGCGTGCAGCAGCCATTTTCTCCATGCAAGGGAAAGGTGGGAGATCGTGTGTGTGCTCCAGTCCGAGTGAGCTGAGATTTCTGTGGCATGTAAGTGTTTATTAACATGTGTGTAACACTTCCACAGTTTTAAAGGAGCTTGTGTGATTTAGCTCTTTGTATTTTGTTCTGCACAGACAGAGGTCACTGCCGTATTTTTGTGTATTTCATTTCCTTTATTCCTCGTGTTGTATTGGCGCATCTTTGTTTAGTCGGTTATTCTGGTACTGTTACCTCTCGTGCTGTCGATGTTCAGTACAAGTCCACATGGCCGCTGTTTGACTAAAGTAAAGGTCAAAGGACATTTTTTGTTTATTCAGTCGTCATTGACAATAAAACTGCACATTAAGAACCCCAGTAACTGTGTCCTGTGTGGCTAACCATTTCCCAGGCTACACTATAAAAGGTTTTTAACGACACAAGTATTACAAATATTTAAAAACAGGATGCTCACCTTTACAGACCATCAAAGCTGCGCTCTTCTAGTGTAGCACAAACTATCAGAGGTGGCTTTGCTGTTAGATTCTGTTCTCCAAGTTATGAGTTACAAAGAAACGGAATCGTTCCTCTGGCTTTTTGTTCTGACACCAGCCACTGAACATCCTTAACCCGAGTGCACGTTGTGTCCGTTAGAGGGCGACACCGAGGCGAGAGGGGCCGGCCCAGAGCCAGTCCCAGGCAGGCTGTAGTGCCACTGAGCCGGGTACAGCAGACAGACACAGAGAAGGGCTGGTGGAAGGAGGAAGGCTCCTCATGACGCCGGGCTTTACCGGGAACTGAAAAAAACATCTACCTGTTTTGGAAGGAGGAAATTTACGAGAACAGAATGCTTCGTGTTTGGATGCTGATGGCGGTGCAGGTAAATATCTCTGTTTTAACCGCGAAGAGCTGCGGTGGGTTTTCGCCGCAGCAGAGCGATGCTGGTTAGAGGAGACGGAGAGGAGCGCTCTGCGCAGATGGGAGGACAATACAG